CAGTCTATTTTCTTGGCTGGAAGCCGGAGCAAATCCAGCAGATATTTACACAAGGGCCCAATCATGTATGAGAACAGGATGACCAGCTTCCCGTGGGTCATGGTCATGAGAGTCTGGTGTCCCGAGGCCCAGATGCGATACCAGGGGCCGTAGAATGGGTCTGAGATGGCCGGACACAGCATGTTGTTCAAATTCACTTCGGTGACCTGCAGGGACAAGGGAGGTAGAGTGAGCGTTCACCATCCTTAGGCTTTCTCTGGCTTCTGCCAGTTCAGCCATCTCTACCTAATGGGGGACTAGACAAGTAGGGATTGACAAATCCCTACCTGTTCATAATGAGATTTCTCTCCCTTAGGTTTTATGAGTGCATCAAGGCTAGAACCCTCTGGAGGTGATGGGGAAGGTCGTCCAGTGGAAAAGCTTTTTGGTTTTGCTCTGTCTTGTCTTCTGGGTTGGGCCCAGAGTCTGCTGCTGTTCCTAAGCATCTACTATGTGCCTAGTCCCCAGAGAGGTGTTATGGGAGAAAAGAGCAGTCAGCAGCATGGTCCCTGCCTCCACATAACTGGCAACCAATCAAGTCGAGATGATCAGTTTTACCACGTCTGACCTCAGACCAGACAGTGCTCACAGGGTCTTCCCCACCAGGACATCTGCGGAGTGTACAGAATGGGGGCTGAGTTTTCAGGAAAGATTTCATGAGGAAAGTGGCACCTGAATTGACTCATGAAGAATAGATGAGGGTCACAGCAAGGAATGGACTAAGCAAAGCCTTCCTTGTAGGAGGTGTGACTTGAGCCAGGCCCGGAGATGGGACTGAGCATGGTATATATGGTGACATGAGGACACTGACTCCTCTGGAATCAAGGAGACCCAGTAGATAGCAGTGAAAATAAGGGTGCGAAGGTCATACTGTTTCATCTCTACTGTGAAGGAAGCATGCACACTTTCAGCAAAGAGCTCAAACCACCCGCACGCCCCCCAAGGTAAACCAGAGAAGAACAATACACCAGGGTGGGGAAGAGAAGGTGACTGCTTCCACAAAGGCACTGATGACATTGGTTACATGCCCTAGGCCTGCAAGGTCTCACAAGGCTCCACATGGCTAATGCTCCATTAATGGTACTAGTACACAAAACCAGACATGCCACTCCTGCCCTAAAGACGGCTACAGCACCTGCCTTCCAATGCCCTTCAAGCCCATTCATGCTAAAGACAAGTCCTCACCACCTGTTGGGGAGGTTGGGGGTTCTGTACCACGTCACAGAGGGGTGGAGAGCTCTCTGCCCTCGAGGATGTGGTGACTCACCCACAGCAATAGCAGAACCAAGACTTGAACTTGGGTGTCCTGACCCCCCAGCCACAGCCCTGAGCTCTTCCTATTCACTTTGCCACCAGTAGACACCCATGTACTCAGCGATCTTGGGCTCCGAATAACTCTACTACTGAGTCCAGCCATTAACCTCACTCCAGGCAGGTCTGAACACCCCAAAATGCCACTTCCCTCAACACAGCACTTCCACTGGCCACACAGCTCAGGGCCCGGGAGTAGGCCCAGAATGGACCTGAGGTCAGAAGCCTACATAGACCCAGAGTGAGGGTTAGGGTCCTGCCTCCTCGTAGGGTCCACAGCAGACCGCTTTCCAGTTGTAGCTCACTGTTCCTAATCCAAGTGGCCATGAGTGAAAGGCATCCTTGCCTCCTCGTGGATGAAAGAAACAGTCATTACTGAAGGATTCAGAAAACTCTTTAGCAAGGCCAAGGCTGTAGATCATAAATCAGCAATCCAGACACAACAATCTGACATCTTGGCCTTTGGCATCTTATATTTTCAAAGCAAAATGATACACCAGCACTAACCAGGATTATCAAAGATTAATGGAGAACTCCAAACAGAGGGGAGAGAAGGGGAGAGAACTAGACTTACCAGGCCCAGGATCTGCAAGATGCTGAAGTGGTAAAAGAACATGAGGCCAGTTGAGAGAAGGGCCCACCGGAAACTGCTGAGGGGCTCTGGGGTGTAAGCACCTGGAGGAAAAGGGGAGATGGTGAGATAGCAGAGTTGGTGACCCACTTCTCGTCCTTCGCCCCATGAGGATGCAGGTGCTGAGGCCACAGTTGCTGCCTGCTGATTACCCCCCGTCGCTACTCAGTGACAGCTACCTAAGAGATTGCCCTACTAATTAGCTGGGTACTCCAATCAACCCCTTCCCAATCTCTGTTCTGCTGCGTAATGCTGGGGCCATTACGAAGAAAGGAGTTTTCTTTATTGTAATAGAAATAAAATAAGATGTGACTAAAATTTAAATATGCTCTAACTGCAAAATAAAAACTGATTTTGCATAGGAAAGAAGAATGTAAAAATATATCTTAAATTTTTATACAATTACATGTTGAAATATTTAACATAGTTAAATAAGATACGTCATTAAAATTTATATTTTTAAAACAATAATACATGCTCATTAAAAGAAATTTATGAAATGCTAAAAAGTAGAAACAAAATGGAGGAAAAAAAGAAAAACATCCCCAGTACTCTATTACCCAAATGTAACCACTGCTAACTCATGGGTGTGTCTCCTTGGTTCTTGTCTCTATGCCTTAAGAGTCTCTTTTCTTCCTTTTGAAATTACTAATTGGGGTTTTACTGTATATGTAATTGTATATCCTTCATTTCCTCATTTATTTTAATCATCCCCTCATGTTTCAGGAGAGAAGTGTCATTGAGGAAGTATGGCATGGTGGTTGAGAATGTTAACTTTGATGCCAGATTTGGTTTCCAATCTGCATTCTACCACTTACTGGCTGTGTGACCCTGGAAATGGTGTTTAAAGTCCCTGAATCTCAGTTGGCTTGTTTTTAGAGAGGAGTTATCTCCATTATAGTAGTCCTACCAACTTCTTAAAGTTGTTGTGAGGGGTAAAGGACATAATATATTGAGAGCTCTTAGAATAGGATCTGGTATAATGTAAGTGTGCAGTGCATGCTAGATATCATTACAAAACTATTATGATTCAAATAACTAAAGAATGCGCCACATCAAATGGCTGCGCCATTCCCCAACTGTTAGATAACTCCCTCCTCCTGGAACAGCGAAAATGATATTTTCCCTCTCTCGTCAATAAGAACCACCATCCTAGTAGGCTTAGATGTATTCCAGAGCTTGCAGAGCAGGAATATGGCGTATAGGATGTTGTGGCTATCGCTCTGAATGGAGACTTGGAGCGGGGTGCTCCAGAATGAAAGGAACCTGGAATCTCCACCCAAAGCAAGTATGTGGCAACATTACATCCTAGATTATTTTCCCAAGGCAGTTTTTCACTGATTCATCCATTCATTCACCAGTTATTATATTCTAAGCCTTGTGCCAAGATTTGAAGATAAGAATATAATGAAGACAGGCTCTCTGCAGTCTCAGACTCACAGTCTGGCGTGTGACGAACACAAACCAGTTAACAATTAGAAACCAGTATGATGGGTGTGATGACCAAGGTCTGTGCCGCTTATGATGGGAGAACAGACCCCAGCTTAGGGGAGAAGGTGTAGGAACAGGACTGCTTCTTCATAGTGGGGACAAGGACTTGTCTGAAGGACAAATCAGACTTAAGAAAGGGCCTAGGCACGCCAGAGCACCAGCCTGAACTTAGGCAGACATGAGTGGGAGCGAGGCGATTCAGAGAATGATGGTAAGATTTGGGGCCACAAAGGATGGTGTGATGAGGTAGTTAGCCGAAATAAGACTGAAGAGGTTGGCAGAGCTGGTCCACTCGTAGCTAGGCCACATAGCACCTTAGGGGCCAGGCTGAGGGCTTTGGCTTCCATCCTGTGCTGCAGGGTCATGAATCCAAACGCCTCAAGTTTCAGGCAGGTAACCGAGAGCAGGGAGTGACCAGGGACAAAGACACATTAGGGATGCTGGAGATTAGCCAACTGGAAAGTCCATGCCCTTTCTGAAGAAGGCAACCACCACTCAGCTTCATCCAATCATTGCCCTGTAGGGATGTGGGCCCAGAGTTGCTAGTTTTTTTCACTTTTGTAAGAGAAGCCAGAAATATGAATTTTTATATGGAATTTCCTGATTTTTAAATGTTGGCAAATAATTCAAAATGTTTTAAGAATGCTCAACAGACCAAACAAAACATGTCTTCTTGGATGGATTTCAGCCCACGGGTGGCCAGCTTTGAGCTCTGCTGCAGAGCCACAGAAAGCAGTAGAAGGTTTGAAGGAGAAAAGTGATGTGATCAGATGTGTGCTTGAGAAAAATCATACTGGCCCACCAGTGTATGGGGGATGGACCGGAGCAGTGGGAGCTGAGGCAAGGAGACTGCTTCAGAAACCCAAAGAGGGAAGAGGATGGATGGCCTTTGAAGATAATAGCAGTGGAGCTGGAAAAAGTGGAGGAAAAATCACCAGGACGTGGTAGAAGATTGGATGTTAGGGGAAAGGGCGAGGAAGACTCCCAGGGTTCTAGCTTGGGCATCACTGGGTTGATAGTGCCAATTAACAAACGATGAGGCCAATTTTAGATGTTGAAATTGAGGTGTCTGTGGAATCGCCAAGTGGAAATGCCTCTCATGTGGCTGGATGCATTCTGCAAAATATGGTGTGATGGGCACTAGAGCCCGGCAGACATAGATTTTCAAATGCTGGCTCTTGTCACTTATTAACTCCAGGGCCTTGAGTAAGCCTCAGTAATTCAAGCTCGGGTCACTGGTCTATAAAGTGAGATGCTGCTGTCTACTTCACAAAGGCTGTTGGATAGATGAGCTGATTTAAGTAATTATTATAGTGCCATATCTGGAATTTAACAAATGCTAATTATTTTTATTATTACAGGCACACCTCGGAGATATTGCAGGTTCAGTTCCAGACCACCGCAGTAAAGAGAGTCGCACGACTGTTTTGGTTTCCCGGTGCATATGAAAGTTACATTTACATTATACTGTGGTCTACTAAGTGTGCGTTATATATAAAGAGATAACATTCGTATCTTAATTTAAAAACATTTTACTGCTAAAAAAATGCTAACCATCATCTGAGCCTTGAGTGAGTTATCATTTTGCTGGTGGAGGGTCTTGCCTCAATGTCGTTGAAAACGCAATATCTGAGAAGCAAAATAAAGTGAGGTATGCTTGTATATGAGTCGCGAACTCAGTGAAGAGGATGGAACTGAACATCCAGATATAGGAGTCATCAGCACATAATAGTAACCAAAGTTATAAGAGCATATGTAGAGCGAAAGAGGAAGAAGGCTGGAGGCAGAACACCAAGAAACACCATGGGGTGCGGTGGGGATGGGGGTAGAGTGTGGAGGGGAAAAGAAGAGTGACATGGGGTGACTGAAGCCAAGTGGGTCTTCTGGGGGAGCAGCTCAGCCTTGCTCCCCGAACAAGAGGCAGGCTCACAGTATATCTGAGTCAGAAGGCCCTTTGAGGGCATCAGAATCATCCCTCCATTTTATAAACGGAGAAACGAAGGCTGGGGGACGAGCAGTGCCACAGCCAAAGATACAACAGCAGAGCACCAGGCTCTCAAACACTGCCAGGGGACTCATTGTTCAATGCACCTTTTGCCACTTGCCTAGATTGCCATCACACCAAGTTGTACTGTCTCCTTCCTCGTCTGTCTACCTGTCTAGATCAGAGCGCCTAGGGGTCGATAACCATGTGGAACTCATTTCTGTGTTCACTGAGCTATACGCTTACACTTTGTGCACATTTCTGTCTGCTGAAGGAGTGAGAATTGGGCACCGTGCTATCACCCTGGCTGCTGGGGACGTAAAGGGGAAGAAGAGCTGATCTTGAGGACCAACAGGTGCTGAAGCTGCATTTCATGCCAGTCCTCAAGCCTTAAGACATTTTCCCCAGGTGCCCCTTCCCTCCAGCCTCTGCTTGGCTCCCCCTAGTACAGCTGGAGAGTAGTGACAGGCCCCGTGGGCCAGGTGGTGGCAGCAGGAAAGGGATAGAGGAGGAAGTATCCTCAGCTAGGAGGCAGCTTAGCCACAGACCTGGGGAAAGCTGGGACAAGGCCTCAACCACTGGGCAGCCCTGCTCTCATTGTGCTCCTCTCTGCCCTGCCCTGTGATATGGAGGAAAAAGAATACTCAGATACTGCCAGGGGTCACGTTTCTCAGTGCTCTCACTACCAACTCGCCAAACCCCCATTTTTGTACCATTCCATCTGTGTGGCATCATACATCCTACTCCAGACTCTTAGTTCCCTGAGGGAGGTGTTGTTCCTGAATTACCTCTTCACTTCTAGTACCCGGTACGCAGTAGGCACTCAAAAAGTTATTGCTGCATGGGTAAATGAAGGGCACAGACTTTCTGAAGAATCATAAAACTATAACCCTTTGGCTCAACAATCCTACATGGAGGACTACTATCAAATACGTAAAAAAAACCAACAATCCCCCCTTATTTGCACAAAGATAATTTATGCCTGTACTGCCTAAAATATTGAGAAATGGAAACAAACCAAATGCGGAGATAAGTAAATTCTGGAACTTCGATGTTGTGCAACAGTCCACGGCAATTCAAATGATAACCAGACAAACTAAGTCCCTGGCTAGTAATGGCAAGTGTAAAAGAATACCAAACAGTATGACGTTGATGGAAAATACAGCTTAGTGGTTTAAAACAAAGGCTTTGGGTCAGACAGCCTTGAGTTTAAATACAGCCTCTGGCACTGACTATAGGGGTGACCATGTGTTGCCCCTCTAAGCTCGTTTTCCCATATGTAGACTGGAGGTAACATCTATTTCTCGGGGTTGCTGAATGGAATAAGATATGGAAAAGTAAATACAGCAGCTAGCTTGGCACACAGATGGCAGCTGCTCATTTTACCATGCCAACCACAGGCATCTTATAAAAGGCTAGAAAATAAAATCTTTTAAGAGGTGATCTTCTCTAGGAAGGGGACCTTGTGGTCTCCACTGTCTTTTTACTTTTATTGGTTCTTTTCATTGCAAAAAAAATCAAAAAGGAAAAAAA